AGGAGCCCGCCTTCATGAGTTATGGGAAAAAGTGCGACGGACTCGGTTTGCGCTCCTGCTGTGCCTCTATTGCAAGGAGTTGCGGTATTTTCGGAATGAGGGCGAAGAGACAAATGAAACGGGCATATTGTAAGGACAGTTGAAAAAAAAAGTGTAAGGACTATTGCATATTGTGAATAGAAGGGCGGGCCTAAGTCACGATGGTACATCGATAACTTTGCTTTACCCGCTCACGGTGTGTGTGATGCGAGCGGGCCGCAGGGATCCTTAACTTACCTCATAAGGGCATCATAACGTTATCGTAAGAGTTAAAGTTATTAACCTTAACTTCTGACATCTTTTCAAAAAGGTTAAGTTTTTTTTTTGTGTTTCAAATTTTTGTGTAGAGATATTTTTGGAAGTACTTCCAAAAGTCTGTCCCCTCCCCCTTTTAGCGAACGTTGTCTTATGTTACGTTATGAAAGCAGTGTTAGTTAAATGTTAGGTTAAGTTAAGGATCCCTGGCGGGCCGAAGGCCCGGGCCTTCGACTGGCCAAGTTGGGTCTGATGCGAGGGCCGAAGGGCCCCGAGAAAAGGCCGCCGGCAGGCCAAGCGGGGCCCGGGCCCCCCTGTCGAACCGAGTTGCCGGCGCAGCGAAGCGGAGCTGGCAACTGGGTTTCGACGGAAGGGCGGGCCCTAGCTTGTTGAGGATGTTGCCGGTGACGGGGACCCGATTGCGGCACAGTTTCGGAAGTGTCTCGACCAGACCTACCGATGGGGCGAAAAAAAAATTTTAAGTCGGTCGGTCCCCTTTTTTGAAGTTTGAGGGGTTTTTGTTGAATTTAGGCCTATTAAATCGTTTTTGGGGATGTTGCCGGTGACGGGGACCCGATTGCGGCACATTTTTCGGAAATGTCTCGACCAGACCTACCGATGGGGCGAAAAAAAAATTTTAGTCGGTCGGTCCCTTTTTTGAAGATTGAGTGGATTTTGTTGAATTTAGGCCTTTTTAATCTTTTTTCGGGATGTTGCCGGTGACGGGGACCCGATTGCGGCACAGTTTCGGAAATGTCTCGACCAGACCTACCGAGGGGGCAAAATAAAAATTTTAGTCGGTCGGCCCCCTTTTTTTAAAAGATTGAGTGGTTTTTGGTTGAATTTAGGCCTATTAAATCTTTTTTTGGGGGATGTTGCCGGTGAGGGGGCCCCGATTGCGGCACAGTTTCGGAAATGTCTCGACCAGACCTACCGAGGGGGCGAATAAAAATTTTTAGTCGGTCGGTCCCCTTTTTTGAAGATTGAGTAGGTTTGCTCGGAAACGGTGAGAAATTTGTTCCCTTTTTTGTAGATAAAGTGGGTTTTTCTCGGAAACGGTGGGGAAATTTTCAACTTTGGGTTTTTTTCCCAATTTTCCTATAAAATTTGGAATCGAATGGAAAAAACCGCAAGTCTCTACGACCACTCCTTCCCCCCAAACATTTCTATGAGTGAGTGAGTGAGTCATGGGGTGAGTCAGTCGGTTTGGGGGCTTTATAGGTTCTTGACTCGCGCTGCCGCGGGGGCTCCGCCCCCAGACCCCCGCATGTGTGGAGCGCGTGCCGAAGTATTTTCAGTAAGTCCGTGGTGACCAAAGGAAAATTTTCTAAGGAAGTAAATGTCCTGCTTCTTTGAAAGCTCTATTTAACCGCTTATGACCATATAATAAGGCTACTTTTACTGCCCAAATAGATAGCTTGTATTGCATTGGCTACTGGCAGTCAATGGGTGCATACAAGGTCCGGAAAATATTGAAGACTGCTTTGACAAGGATAGAGGTGAAAGGAAAAAAAACCCTTTAAATCTCTACGACCACTCCTCGACCCCAAACATTTCTTTCATGAGTAAAGGGGTCAGTCAGTCAGTCGGATTTGGGGTATATAGATTCTTGAAGATGATTGCCCAATTTCCGGTGGCGGGGTCCCGCTTACGGCACAGTTTCGGAAATTCTCGACCAGACCTACCGATGGGGCGAATAAAAATTTTTTTGTCATTCGGGCCCCTTTTTGGAAGATTGAGTAGCTTTGCTCGGAAACAGTGAGAAATTTTTAACTTTTGAGATTTTTCCCCAAATTTTTCCCCTTAAATTTGGAATCGAATGGAAAAACCCCCAGGTCTCTACGACCACTCCTTGACCCCCAACATTTCTATGAGTGAGTGAGTCAGTCAGTCGGATTCGGGCTATATGGGTTCTTGATGATTGATGAGTAGGAAGTCAGTCAGTCGGATTTTGGGGCTTATAGGTTCTTGATGACAAATTTATGATTGATTTTGAGTATGTTGCCGGTGACGGGGACCCGATTGTGGCACAGTTTCTGAAATGTCTCGACTTGATTTACCGATTGGGCTAATAAAAAATTTTTGTCGGTCGGTCCCCTTTTTTGAAGATTGAGTGGACTTTGTTAAATTAAGGTCTATTAATTGTTTTTGAGGATGTTGCCGGTGACAAAAACCCGATTGCGGCACAGTTTCGGAAATGTCTCGACTAGACCTACCGATAGGGCGAATAAAAATTATTAGTCGGTCGGTCCCCTTTTTTGAAGATTGAGTGGATTTTGTTAAATTTAGGCCTATTTAATCGTTTTTTAGGATGTTGCCGGTGACCAGGACCCGGTTGCGGCACAGTTCCAGAAACCGCTCGACCAGACCTACCGATGGGGCGAATAGAATTTTTTTGTCGGTCGGTCCCCCTTTTTTTTAAGATTGAGTGGACTTTTAAAATTTTGGCCTATTTAATCGTTTTTGAGGATGTTGCCCGGGGACGGAAACCCCATTGCGGCACAGTTTCGGAAATGTCTGGACCAGACCTACCGATGGGGGGGAATAAAAATTTTTAGTCGGTCGGTCCCCCTTTTTTTAAGATTGAGTGGATTTGTTGAATTTTGGGGCCCATTTAATCGTTTTTGAGGATGTTGCCGGTGACGGGGACCCGATTGTGGCACAGTTTCGGAAATGTCTCGACCAGACCTACCGATGGGGCGAATAAAAATTTTAGTCGGTCGGTCCCCTTTTTGAAGATTGAGTGGATTTTGTTGAATTTAGGCCTATTTTAAACGTTTTTGAGGATGTTGCCGGTGACGGGGACCCGATTGCGTCACAGTTTTGGGAAAAGTTTGACCGACCTACCGATGGGGCGAATAAAAAATTTTTTGTCGGTCGGTCCCCTTTTTTTTAAGATTGAGTGGATTTTGTTGAATTTAGGCCTATTTAATCGTTTTTTTGGATGTTGCCGGTGACCAGGACCCGGTTGCGGCACAGTTCCAGAAACCGCTCGACCAGACCTACCGATGGGGCGAATAGAATTTTTTAGTCGGTCGGTCCCCCTTTTTTAAGATTGAGTGGACTTTGATAAAATTTTGGCCTATTTAATCTTTTTGAGGATGTTGCCGGGGACGGGGAAACCCCATTGCGGCACAGTTTCGGAAATGTTGGACCAGACCTACCGATGGGGTGAATAAAAATTTTTAGTCGGGGCGGTCCCCTTTTTTGAAGATTGAGTGGATTTTGTTGAATTTGGGCCTATTTTAAACGTTTTTGAGGATGTTGCCGGTGACGGGGGCCCGATTGCGGCACAGTTCGGAAGTGTCTCGACCAGACCTACCGATGGGGCGAATAAAAAATTTAAGTCGGTCGGTCCCCTTTTTTGAAGATTGAGGGATTTTGTTGAATTAGGGCTATTTAATCGTTTTTGAGGATGTTGCCGGTGACGGGGTCCCGATTGCGGCACAGTTTCGGAAATGTCTCGACCGACCTACCGATGGGGCGAATAAAAAAATTTTGTCGGTCGGTCCCCTTTTTTTTGATTGAGTGGATTTTGTTGAATTTAGGCCTATTTAATCGTTTTTTGGGATGTTGCCAGTGACGGAGACCGGATTGCGGCACAGATTCGGAAATGTCTCGACCAGACCTACCGATAGGGCGAATAAAAATTTTTAGTCGGTCGGTCCCCCCTTTTTTAAGATTGAGTAGGTTTGCTCGGAAACGGTGAGAAATTTGTTCCCCTTTTTTGTAGATAAAGTAGGGTTTTTTCGGAAAAGGTGAGGAATTTTCAACTTTCGGGATTTTTCCCAATTTTCCCATAAAATTTGGAATCGAATGGAAAAAACCCCAAGTCTCTACGACCACTCCTTCACCCCAAACATTTCTATGAGTGAGTGAGTGAGTCAGTGAGTCAGTCGGATTGGGGCTTTATACGTTTTGATGAGTGAGGGAGTCAGTCAGTCGGGTTTTGGGGCTTTTAGGTTTTTTGATGACAATTGATGATTGATTTTGAGTATGTTGCCGGTGACGGGGACCCGATTGTGGCACAGTTTCTGAAATGTCTCGACTTGATCTACCGATTGGGCTAAAAAAAATTTTTAGTCGGTCGCCCTAGGAACACAGACTTGTCGATCGACAGTCGAAATTGTATCGGCACGTCGATAGCCGATAACGTTATTTCGCTTGTCGAGCGACTGTCGTCGCACTGTCGCTCGGTCGACATTTGGTGACTCGATGTCGCCATTCTATCGGCCGGCCGATAACGCGCTCTCGACAACGCTGCGATAGTCGGTCGAAGACGAACGGCCGTTGTCGAGGAATTATCGGGGCCGATGCCAGTGCGATGTGAAAATTTCGACTATCGCGCTCCCCCCACAACCCCACGATAACGACTGGATGGCAACTGGCCGTTGTCGAGAAGCTGTCGAACTTGATGTTGTCACGATACGGAAAATCTCAGGAAACTCCGACCATCGCGCCCTTTCCCACAACCAAGCGATAACCGAGGGGGGACCCCCCTAGCCCTTCGTTGTACATCCTGAGACCCAACTCCCGAAAAAATCACTCACATTCAAGACACATTCCACACATTCTCATAGAATCAAAACAATCAGCCACAATCCAGCACACTCTTACACATTCGCTAACATTCCCTAACATTCTCACACAATCGCTGTACATTCTCTGACATTCTCATACATTCAGTCACATTCTGGACACATTCTTTAAACATTCTCTGCACATTCCTTACACATTCTCAATGACAGTCCCTAAAAATATTTATTTTAGTCTAATAACTTCGATTTAGGTTTACGTTCCTTTCAGCTCTAGCAGTACTTCCCTCC